GTTTGGGGGGGACTTGGACTGGCCTGTGCCCAAGGGGGGGGCTGAGGTCTCAGAACTGCCCCCCCAAGCCTTGACCGGAGAAAGACTTGGGCTCACTGACGGCGGTGCTCATGGCTGTACCTCTGGGGACCTCGGGTCCCATGCCTTTCTATGCTGGCCTCCGTCTGCCCCTGTGGCAAGGGGCCAGGAGCCTCCCCACCCAGTCCACGGGTGGCCCCATTTAGGTGGGCTGGGACGTGGGTGGTTCTCTTCTCCCCAGGCCAGGGGTCTCAGAAACTCCTGGCCCAGCTGTCCAGGGCTGGGTGGGCCCTAGTTTTGTGTCCCGTGTCGGTGGTTTGGGTGGAAGGCGATGGGCCTTTGGGGAGCACCACAGGATTGGGCTCCAGCAGGATCAGGAAGCAGCCGTGTTCCCCACCCCTTGTGACCAGTGGACACCAGTGATGTTGACTTGGTTGGCCCATACACAGCAGGAGCCCAAGGGCCCCAGGCGCTTCCTGGGCAGCAGGCTCGTGGAGGGGCAGCAGGGGTGACGTGGGGAGGGGGCTTCTAGGCAGTCCGCTGCAGAGCCAGGGCCACGTGGGGAGCAGGCAGCTTGGGGGCAGGGTCGGTGAGGAATGACCTCCTTGTTCTGCTCCCGAGTAACCATTCCGCGGCCAGGAGGCACTGGCCCTGGTGGTGGCGGGGGCGGGAATTTGGGCTGGGGGCAGGCCTTCCCCGCTACCCTGGGGTCGTTCTGCTCGGGACAGGTTGAGTCGGTTAAGGAAGGGGTGCTAATTACATCCAGGTGGCTCTTTATAGCAAGGAGCCCGGGATGCAGGCTGCTCGGTGGGGTGGGCAGGGCGGTCCCTGCGTCGGGAGGCGGGGGCCTTGCCCACCTTCGGAGTGCCCGTCCGAGCTCGTCCCGGTCCTGGCAGGGCGGGTCCCCTCTGGGCAGGCAAAGTCCTTGCGTCTCCACAGCTTTCCGTAAACACGTGTAGCTCAGCTGGTTCCGTCAGTATGTTCCCAGGGACGCGGTAAATCACGCACAGACCAAATCCAGCGCTGGCGAGAGTGAGTCCCCTCTGCCCAAATGGTCAGGTCGCCGGGCGATGTGCACGAGGGCCCTCTGAGCACGTGCAGTTCCTTGACCTCCCCCCTCAGGGGAAACTGAGGTCCAGGCAGAGTGGGACGGAGATCCCCTCCTCCACCCGCCCCCCAAAGTTCCTCTGATCAAAGCACATTACACCTGCGCCCCCAGGAAGCACCTGTCCTGGGGTATCTTGGGTTCCTCCTGCGGACAGAAGGAGGGGTACCACATCACTGCCCCCCCAGCTGGCCAGGGTGCAGGACCACAAACTCCTTGAGGGCAGAGCTGAGCACAGCACTCCTCACGACTCCCTCCCCCTCTCTCCTAGTCTGGGGCAAAGAGAGCTGTCATCTGTCCCCTGGGGGTGGCAGATGGCTGCTTAGCTTAGAAAGGAAAACAGCACAATTTAGAATTAGTCCCGGGTGAAAGGTCGCAGCAACATCTGCCTCCGGATGCTTTCTGGAGTCACATTTCTATGGAGCAGTGCTGGCTGGGGAGGGCGGGAGTGAGCACAGTGGAAATACTGAGGCGGGGACAAAGCCGGGCCGGCCGGCCGAGGACAACAGGCCCGGCAGCCATTTGGCGCTCCTCTGCCCGGTCTGGCCCCCCGTCGGCCCCCTGTGCGGCCCTGCCCCCGGAGCCCCCAGCCCACCTGTCTGTCACCTGCCGCGGCCAGCGTGGGTTGGCTTGTCGGAGGGGCAGGCAGCACGGAGGGCGGGAGAAAGGGCAGGTGGGGGAGCAGGTGCTGGGTGGCCTTTAGGAGGGGCGGTGAGGCGCAGGAGCCGCGCAGTGCGCTGGGCGGACCGTCCCTGTCCAGTCTGTAGGGGGCTCACCCCGGCTGTCTTGGGCTTGCCACCCTGCCCGGACAGGAGGGGCGTGCAGGTCAGCAGGAGGTATCGCTCAGGACACCCGAGGCCCTGAGCCGGGCCCACTCTGGGAAGCCTCTCACTTTCGAGGTAGCTGTTGGGTGCCGCTCCCTTTGCCGGGCCCGGGGCCCCTCCCCACCAGGCACTTACACCGACCCCCAGGACAGGCACTGAGGACAGAGGGTCCCTCCAGCCCCCTCAGGGAAGTCTGGGTGCCATGGGCAGAGGGGGCCACAGGTGTCCATCCCCGGGGAGCTCCCGTGCTGTGGCCAGGTGGGCAGAGAGGTGTCCACAGGTGCAGAGGAGAGAGATGACTGGAGGCTGCCCGGAGCCGGGGGGGCACACAGTGGGGGCAGGATGGCCTCCAGGACTGGCCCAAAGGTGCTCCACCCGCCTCCAGTGCCTCTACTGTCCCTCCTCCAGGGGCCACCCCTCCCCTCGTGGCCTTGCCTGTCCTGGAGCTGGGGTGCTGGTGGTGGTGGCCACGTCCAGGCCCAGCCCAGGAGCCAGCCCGGGAGCCAGCCTGGGCCGGGCAGCATGCCTTCACGGTGCTGTCTGCCTGGCCTGGGCAGGAGTAGGGGAGACAATTGGCCTTCTCAGCCGCGGCTCCCCCCCCCCGCCCCGCAGAGGAGCCTCCCTGGGCCCCTGCCCCACCCGCCCTGGTTGGCGGCCCGCCGCGCCCGGCTGGGATCAGCTGCTGCCCGCGTCCCCGGCCACAGGCGCACCTGCTCCCCGGCCGGCCTTTGTCCCTGCTAGTGACGCCTGATTTATTGGCGTATTTTCCCTCGCTGGCCTGGCATAACCCAGCCTCATTGGCTAGGATGCCACCCATCCAGGTGGGTTGTCCCACGGTCTTCCCACGGGAGTCCCCACTCCTGAGCCATAGCAGGGGGGCTGTTCACAGGGCCACTGTCCCATGGCTGGAAGGTTTGGGGTGTGTATCCAGGCAGAGCCTTCCAGTCCATCTGGGGATGCCCAACATCCGGACAAGTTAGGGATCTGTCTAGGGGCGGGGGGACCCAAGGACGCCCCCCAGGACCCCGAAGACTTCCCTCCCCTCAGGCCAGCAGGGCTTGGGGGGGGATGTAGACAAGGCAAGCGCCCTCTACCCAGGACCCACCACCCTCCCGCTCCGTCAGTGGCTGGGAAAGAAAAAAGAGCCTTTTCTCCAAGTGGCGCGGTGGCTAGGTCCTGCCTGACAATGGAGGGCATTGATAGGTTGGGGGAGATGCGGCCTGTCCCCCCACACCCATCCCCCGCCGCTCCACTCCGGGCTCCCAGTGCCACTCAGGCCAGAGCCGGAGCCCACGGTCGGTAACTCCCCGGAGTCCTGGAGCGTGGTCGTGCGGGAGTCCCCCATGCCAGAGCCACCGGCCCCGTGGCCTGCTTCCCCACCAGGCTGGGCAGGAGCCTGACTCCGGCCTGAGTTACCTCCCCCGCCCCGCCCCGCCCCGGGTGACTGGTTTTCTTGAAGCCAGTTGGTTTGGGACTGTTGGCTTCTGACAACAGATGGTGGGCCAGGGGGCCATTTTGTGTCGTCCTTGTCACCTTCCCCAAGCTGCCACTGCAGATAAAAACCGGCAGGGAGACAGACGCGTCCCAGGCCTTGGGGACAGACTGGGGAGCAGCCCACTGCTGAGAAATGCGGAGACTCCGAGACCTCGGCCCCCAAACCGCCACCCCACCCATGCGGGTCTGGTTCTAGTCCCAGGGGCAGGCAGGAGGGGACGCGGTGAGGACCGGCAGGGGGCAGCCCCTCTTGGCTGGGCTCTGGAAGATGGGCTGTTTCCATGCCCAGGAGAGCCCTCTCTTCATCCGGGGACCTGAGCTTCCCCGCCAGTACCCGCCTCTGCCGGGGGGGTGGAGGCCCTGCCAACCCGGTGCCCAGAGCTGTGGGTGTGGCGTCCCGGCTGCCTTCCCAGGCCGCTGCTGGCCAGAGGCGGGCCAGGGGCACGTTATGCCTCAGAGCCTTCGCCCCTGGGAAGAACAATGCCTGGCCGGTCCCAGAGCCTTTACTGAGCTTTTCCCTCGAGTACGAGGCCACAGGGTGACCTCAGTGGGCAATTTATGGCCCAGGCTCCAGAAGCTGGGCCAACAGGTGGCCAAGGGGGGCCCTGGGGTGGGGGTGGCCTGCACGGAGCCCCGTCCCTGCAAAGAACCCGTAAGATGCCCCCCTCCCGGTTCGTCCGCTCCTGTTGGAGCCCGAGCAGCATGTTCTGGGGCAGGGCACAGACCTGGCGGACATGGCAGCCTTCACCCCCAGCTCCCCAGCCCCGGGCTGGCTCACCGAGAGCTCAGGAAGGATGCTCTTCCGCGCACCTTGATTTCTCTTGCCGTGGAATGGGTGGGTCTGCTCCCGGCTCATGTCGTCTGGACATTGTGAAGACTTGATCCCGAAAGGGAAAACCATGTCTGGGCGCTGAGTGTGGCGGGGCGGGGGGGGGCGCCAACCGTGTCCCAGCGGTATTCCCGTCAGGTAAGACCTCCAGCAGAAAGAATCCACATCGGAAAGGAAATGGGAGACCATCTGCTGCGTCTTGGCCCTCTGTACGTTCACGATTGCGTCCGTAGTGAAAGCAGAAAAGCCGTGAGCCCCCAGAACAGAAAAGCGTCAGAGCGCTCCTCCGCGGGGAATGGCTGGGACCCGCCTCGTGGCCCCTTCCTGCTGGTTCGCCCAGGCGCTCATGCAGACGCTCGCGAGGGTTTTGAAACCCAGGCCGGGCCTCGCTATGTGTTCTCGTCTCCAGCCCGTTGCCCCAGTTAACAGAATCTTTTTTTTTTTATTGAGGTGAAATTCACTGAATGTAAAGTTAACCACTTTAAAGTGTGCAGGTCAGTGGTGTTTGGCACCTGCGTGCTCTTGTGCAGCCTCCCCCCTGGACCCAGATCATTCAGCTGCCCCCGAGGAGCCCCTGACCCGGTCTGGCCCTGCGCCCGCCCAGGGTGGGGCCCGACAGCCGCCGCGCTCCCTGGGGGCAGCCGCGGCCCCCACAGACGCCCAGGCTGGGTGATGGGGCCGGTTGGCCGGGGCGCTGGCTCAAGTAACCACTCTGCTGTGTCTGCTGCAGCTGCAGCGGGGCCTTCGTGGGCCAGCGATGCCAGGCACCCAGCCCCTGCCTCAGCGCCCCCTGCAAGAACGCCGGGACGTGCCACGTGGTGGACCGCGGAGGCCTGGTCGACTACATCTGCACCTGCCGCCTGGGCTTCTCCGGGCCCCTCTGCCTGACGCCCCAAGACAACGCCTGCCTCTCCACCCCCTGTCGCAACGGGGGCACCTGTGACCTGCTCACGCTCACCGAGTACAAGTGCCGCTGCCCCCCGGGCTGGTCAGGTGAGAGAGGGCGGCGGGTGGCGGCCCCGAGGACCCTCAGACGCTGGCCCTGCCCCGGCTGCCCACGTGCCGTGACGAGCGGGGCAGATGCCCGGTCGGTCTGTGGAGCTGGGAGGGGCTCCAGAGCTTCCTTCAGGCCGCTGGGGTCGGTGACGCCTACGCTAGAGTCCCCACGCCCCTTCCCAGCCCCGAAGTTGTCCGGTTGTGGCTGCCCTGCTCCAGGGCCCCCACTCCTCCCTGCCCCCGTGAGGAAGGGGGTCCTGTGTCTCGTCCTGTGCTCGGGGGTGGGCCAGCCTCCGTCGGGGGCTCTGACGCTGCGCGGGGCTCTGGAGGGGTCACACTGGATCAGGTCTCGAGGCCGCCCCTCCCCCCGCCCGCCAGCCGTGCGTCCTGGGAACCTCGGTCCCTGTCCACAGACAGAAGGCCGTGTCCTGCCGTGGGTCCTGGGGACTAAAGAGAGGATGCTGGTAGGTCCGTGCCAGGCTGGCTCCTCCACGGTGCCTGGAAGCGGCCCCCCCCGGGGCCTGGAGGAGGCCTGGCCGCGGGCAGCCAGAAGGCCCGCGTGACCCGCTCACTGCCCCTCGTCCACCAGGGAAGACGTGCCAGCAGGCCGACCCGTGCGCCTCCAACCCCTGTGCCAATGGCGGCCAGTGCCTGCCCTTCGAGGCTTCATACATCTGCGGCTGCCCGCACGGCTTCCACGGCCCCACCTGCAGGCAGGACGTGAATGAGTGCAGCCAGAACCCCAGGCTCTGCCAAAACGGGGGCACCTGCCACAACGAGGTTGGCTCCTACCGCTGCACCTGCCGTACCGCCCACACCGGCCCCCACTGCGAGCTGCCCTACGTGCCCTGCAGCCCCTCCCCCTGCCAGAACGGGGGCACCTGCCGCCCCACGGGGGACACCACCCACGAGTGCGCCTGCCTGCCAGGTACCGTCCCGCTGGTTTCCCCGCTGCCGCTGGCAGGCCCCGAGGGGGACCCAGGGCTGCGGGAACCGGGGCGGGTCTGGAAAGGGTACCGGTCGGCAGCGGCTTGAATCGGGGTCCCTGGCCATCCCACTTCTGCCTGGGGGTGGGGTCTGCTGTGACCCCCAACACTTCCAGCCCCCCGCCCCCTGTACCAGGGGCCCGGGGTCCCTGCAGCCCCAGGGCAGGCTCGTCGGTGAGATGCGGCCCTGGGTGAATCGGGCTGGACAGATGTGCCCTCCCTGGGGGTCCTGCCCTCATGGGCCCTTCGCCCTGCTCGGCGCCTCCTTGGGTGGTGGGCGTGAGCCCTCCCCTCTTGAATTCCCTGGAAACCTTGTGCCAGTTGTGAAACTCACCACAGCCTGGCTGGGACACTTGCTTGCGTCGCCCTGGGCCTCCCGTTTCGCTGGGGCACGTCACTACCCCCCGCTGGCTTGTCTCCCGTGGGTGTGGGGGACGGCGAGGGGCAGCCAGCCGTGGCCGCTAGCCCTGTCGCACGGGCTGGTCTTCGCATCACAGCTTTTGAGTCCGTTTTGCTGCTGACGATCTAAAAATAATCCTGACAGGAGGCTTGCCAACTTCGTGGTGTGTCAGCTACGTGCCTTGGCAGTTAGGTGGGCCTGGGGCAGGGGAGGAGGAGGAGCCAAGAGGTGGGGTCGCGGGGTTTGGGTGCTGGGAGTGCAGGGGTACCGGGAGGACTGCCCCAGCTGTCATACTGCGCGGCCCCTGCAAAGGGGAAGTGGCCTGCCTGCCGGCCACACAGCCCTGGGCCTCGTCACCGCGCCATCCGCCTTTGCGTGCACACGCCAGGCACGTGCATTTCCTGGGCAGCGCTGGGTGTTTCCCTTGCCACCTGACCGCCCAGTGCTGCTGGCTGTTCAGCTCTCCCCGGGAGCTGAGAGCTACGCCCAGTTGCCAGGCCCACCCCTGGGTTCTGGGTTCAGATGCGTTTTTGCTGGCCCGGTGACCTCGGGCCTGGGACCTCCCATCCAGCCGTGTGGCTCAAGAGGGGACTGCCCCCCTGGGGCTACAGCGAGGGCCGGAGGATGCGGGGTGTGGGGGACCCGCCGGAGGATACCCCATGCCTGGAGCTCGTGTGCCCCACTGCACCATAGGAGATCCTCCAAGACACGGGGAGAAGCCGTGCTCGAGGTCCACTGTAGCACACGTGGGAATCACAGCTCGGGCTCTGGGCTCCCATCAGGGGTGCTCCCTCCAAAACACTCCACTTCGCACTTTGGCTCTTCCAGGCCTCCTGCTTTTGCCCCCCACAGCACGGGTGGGGTGGAGGGCCCCGAGGGAGGAGACTGGCTCTCCAAGGGCAAGAGAGGAGTTCAAAGGCATCCCGGGAGGGGCATTAATTAGTAACCGGCTGCAGGTTTGGGCTCCTGCCCAGCGCACCTTTCTTGGTTGATGATTGAACGAGCGGGACTTGAGCGGGTTAATGTCTGACTGGCGTGGAGGCCATGTGGTGGAGGTTGGCCCCACGTTTGGGAACCACACCTCTGTTCCTGGGAAGCTGAGGGCCACGTGTGTGCACTGCCTCCTGAAGTCCCCTGCCCGGAGCCCCCCCAGCCCCAGGGCAGTCCCCTAAGATGGGGCACGTGCTGCAGCCCCACGGGGCGCCCTGGGAGCCCCCGTGTGGTGCCGGCCTGGAGGCAGCCACAGGGAGCTCGGCTACAGAAGGATGTTTCCAGGAACACCTCCAGAGTCCCATGTTCCCAAGTCCCTGTCTATTTAGCCGGCCCTGGGCCAAGCGATTCACGAGAGGAACGTGTCACCTGCGGGCTCTGGAGTGGGGGCCCTGGTCACACGGGGAGCAGGGAGAGCAGGGGACAGGGCCTGGACCCCAAGGGCCCCAGGGCGGTGGGCACCCCCCCACAGGCCACGGAGGGGCAGCACCCCGCCCAGAGCAGGGCATGTGGGTCCCGCCAGGGAGACGCCGGAGCAGGCCCACGCCGCCCGACCCTGCAGCCAGGGCCTGACCGGGCTCCCGGCTCCTCCCGCCGCAGGCTTCACCGGCCAGAACTGCGAGGAGAACGTGGATGACTGTCCCGGCAACAATTGCAAGAACGGAGGTGCTTGCGTGGACGGCGTAAACACCTACAACTGCCGCTGTCCCCCAGAGTGGACAGGTGCACGCCGGGACCGGCTTGGGGGGAGGGGGCTGCCAGCCCGGTCTAGCCCGGGGGATGTGTGGCCGGGTTCTGAGGCCCCCACCCCAGCGGCCGCACCGTCCGCCGCAGTCGGGCTCCCTGGTTTTGGGCCCAGCCTGGGGCTCGCGTCTGGGGATGGCGGACAAGCGTGTGCCCCCCCCCCGCCCTCGCCGAGCCCCTGTGCCCGCAGCAGAGCAGAGGCTCGGGCTGGCGGCGGGCGGAGGCTTCCCGGGGGAGGCGGACCCCGCGCCTCGCGGTCCAGGGCCCTGGCGGCATTCGCCCAGCCCGACGACCTCGGCCCCCGCCCCCCGCAGGTCAGTACTGCACCGAGGACGTGGACGAGTGCCAGCTCATGCCCAACGCCTGCCAGAACGGCGGCACCTGCCACAACAGCCACGGGGGCTATAACTGCGTGTGCGTCAACGGCTGGACGGGCGAGGACTGCAGCGAGAACATTGACGACTGCGCCAGCGCCGCCTGCTTCCACGGCGCCACCTGCCACGACCGCGTGGCCTCCTTCTACTGCGAGTGTCCCCACGGCCGCACGGGTGAGCGCCAGCAGAGCCCGGGGCGCACCGTGCCCCGGACGCGCGGCTGTGGCGGCTGGAGGGAGGAGGGCCGGGGCACAGGGGGGCAGGCCTGCTGCTGACGAGCCTGCCGGAGCCACCCGGGCGTCGTGGGCCTGACGGGGCCGCTGGGCAGCGTGGCCGCGGGAGGCCTGCCGTCCCCAGGCTGGGGCGGGGGCCCCGCTGACCGCCGCCGTCCCGCCCAGGCCTGCTCTGCCACCTGAACGACGCCTGCATCAGCAACCCTTGCAACGAGGGCTCCAACTGCGACACCAACCCCGTGAACGGCAAAGCCATCTGCACCTGCCCCTCGGGGTACACGGGGCCGGCCTGCAGCCAGGACGTGGACGAGTGCTCGCTGGGTGCGTCGGGGTGGCCGGCAGCGGGGGAGGCTGCTGGACGAGCGTCCCGGTCTGGTGGGGGAGGCGGGCCTGCCCCACGACGGTCCGGAGATCAGGGTGCCTGAAGCAGCCTCTCACCGGAGCTGCGTGCCCCCTGCCCACCCCCAGGTGCCAACCCCTGTGAGCACGCGGGCAAGTGCATCAACACGCTGGGCTCCTTCGAGTGCCAGTGTCTACAAGGCTACACCGGCCCCCGCTGCGAGATCGACGTCAATGAGTGCATCTCGAACCCGTGTCAGAATGAGGCCACCTGCCTGGACCAGATCGGGGAGTTCCAGTGCATCTGCATGCCCGGTACGTGGCGCCAGCCTCCGGCCCGTCTGGGTGGGCCCTGCAGCGCCCCTGGCCTCCACAGCCGCCCGGGCCAGCCCCCGGGGCACCAGCCCACAGAGCAGCACCAGGGCTGGGTGGGAGGGTGGGCCCCGGGGTGCCAGGCGAGCCGCGGGAGGGCACGCAGGGGGGTGCCAGCCAGCCGCGGGAGGGCACGCGGGGGGGTGCTGGGTGGTCGGCTCCGTGGGCAGCAGGAGCCGGGGGCCTTTTCTCTGCGCAGAGCCCCCAGCTGTGGTGGGCCGGCCGAGGCTGTTCATGGGCCCCGTGCCCCCTCACCATCCCCACCCCCAGGCTACGAGGGCGTGCACTGTGAGGTCAACACAGACGAGTGTGCCAGTAGCCCCTGTCTCCAGAACGGCCGCTGCCTGGACAAAATCAACGAGTTTCTGTGCGAGTGCTCCACGGGTGAGGCCCGCCCCCTCAGGGCTGCCGCCGAGCCCGCCCTCCCCGGGGGCACTGGCCCAGGAGCCCTGACGCTCCGCTGGGGGGCCCTGGGCTTCGTCCTGCACGAGCCTCTCCCTACAGGGGCCCCAGGGGCGGGCCTGCAGGGACTTCACCTCAGGAACGACTGGGCCAGGCTGGGCAGGGGGTGCTGGCCCCCCGCCTTGCTGGGGGGGGCAAGGGGCACTCAGGGCCCAGAAATCCTCCTGGGTGCTGCGGTTCCCTGGGGACAAGTGCCCTGGGAGCAGCAGTGTACTCCCCAGACCCCCGAGGGGCGTAGGTGGGAAAGAGGTGCCAGCCCGGCGCTCGGAGGGCTCGCAGCTGGGAGGGAGTCGGCCTGGCCTGCGCCCCCCGCAGCAGGCGTGACCCGTCATGGACAGTGGACGTGGCCCACAGTGGATGTGACCGTAGGAGGGCCTGAGGAGCTTGGGGCGGGCGGGATCTGCAGGTCCGGGGGCACCGGGCCCCGGGAGGCATTTGCAGGTCAGAGCCTGGGCCTGCAGGGTATAGATCGGCCATCGCAGACACTGGGGACCTCATTCACAGCCCGACACGGTTGTAGCCGTAGTGGCCGGGGTCAGTCGGGGAAAGGGCTCCTCTTGGAGGGGCAGGAGCTGAAAGGGGGCAAGAAGAGAGATGGGAGGTCTCCTGAGCTCTGGCCGCAGCAGGCTTTGGGGAGCCCATCCCAGGAAGTCCCTGCTCTGGTCCAGCTGGGGCTCAGCCGGGGGCCCCCGGCACCCACTGCATCTGATGGTAGCCCTCCCCCGGCCCCAGGCTTCACCGGACATCTGTGTCAGTATGACGTGGACGAGTGTGCAAGCACGCCCTGCAAGAACGGCGCCAAGTGCCTGGACGGGCCCAACACCTACACCTGCGTGTGCACAGAAGGTGTGGGGCCCGGGGAAGGGGGCGGGGGGACGCCCGTGAGGAGCGGCACGCTCCAGTCCTCCCCTTCGGGAGCATGAGAGTGCCAGGTCCGCTTGGCGGCCTTCCGGGAGCAGCCGCCCTGACGCCCGGGCCCCGCCCTGCAGGCTACACGGGGCCGCACTGCGAGGTGGACATCGACGAGTGTGACCCCGATCCCTGCCACTATGGGGTGTGCAAGGACGGGGTGGCCACCTTCACCTGCCTGTGCCGGCCGGGCTATACGGGCCACCACTGCGAGAGCAACATCAACGAGTGTCACAGCCAGCCCTGTCGGCACGGCGGCACCTGCCAGGACCGCGACAACGCCTATCTCTGCTCCTGCCTCAAGGGGACCACAGGTGCCTGGGGCGCGGGGGCGGGGCGGGGCGCGGGGCGGGGCACGCGGGGGGCAGGGGGCTGACCGCAGTGCTGCCCACCGCCAGGACCCAACTGTGAGACGAACCTGGACGACTGCGTCAGCAGCCCCTGCGACTCGGGCACGTGCCTGGACAAGATCGACGGCTACGAGTGTGCGTGCGAGCCTGGCTACACGGGTGAGCGGCCCGCGCGCTCCGTCCCCCCCGGGCCCTGGCGGGCCAGCTCGGGCAGCGGAGAGCAGGGTGCTGCTGGCGGCGGCCGACTGCGGCGGAGAGCGCGGGGGACCCGGGGCTCTGACCAGCGCTGGGATGGGCACCCTCGAGCCTCTGTCCCTGGTCAGAGCCAGAGCCCTGGGCGCACGTCCTGTGTCTGCCGCCACCACCGTCCACCGGGGAGGCCCGTCTGGGCTGTCGGGGTGCCGCGGGCCCTGTGCCCGGGGCCACTGCACTCATGTGGGAAGCCCCGGCTGAGCCAGTTTATGCTCAGGAGGACCAGGGAGGGGCGTCGGGTGTCCTCCCCCGTTCAGCAGAGGGGGAAACCGGGGCTCTGGGGGCCAGAACCTGCTCACCGAAGCCTGTCCTCTCCTGGGGGGCCCGGGGGGCCCAGGGCGTGGGTGTCTGAGCTCCCCGCCCCCGCCCACAGGGAGCATGTGCAACGTGAACATCGACGAGTGCGCGGGCAACCCCTGCCACCACGGGGGTACCTGTGAGGACGGTGTCAACAGCTTCACGTGCCGCTGCCCCGAGGGCTACCACGGCCCCACGTGCCTGTCCGAGGTCAACGAGTGCAGCAGCGACCCCTGCATCCACGGGGCCTGCCGGGACAGCCTCAACGGGTAGGCGCGGGCGGGGGCGCTGTGGGGGGGAGCGGAGCCGCACACGGGCCGCAGCCGCGCCCCCCCCACCGGCACACGGTTGGCCCGGCCCTCCTCCCCAGAGCCCGGCGTGGGCACGGTCGGCTCAGGGTGCAGGTCTCGGTGACCCGAGGCGCGTGTGCGGGCTCCCCGCACCCCGCGTTTCTGTGACGTGCTCGCCTGTCTCGTTTCTCGTTCTGGCTGCTGAGCTGGCTCCCGAACCGTAGTGGGGAAAGGGGCGTTTGAACCCCACCGGAGTTCACGTTAACGAGGTGGCTGCGGCCACCAAAAGACGGGCGCCTGGGGGGCCAGCCGTGTGACCTCCCAGCAGGGGAGGGGGCAGGAGGTTGAGTTAAGCCCCAAGGCCAGAGATTTGATCAGGCTTGCCCGTGTCACCCGGGGCTTGGGAGAGCCTCCGGGCACGTGGACGCCCTGGGAGGCCTGGTCCCCCCCGTGCCTCGTCCCGTGCGTTTCTCCCATTCAGTTGCTCCTGAGGTTCAACTTGTATTAACCGCTAACCGGCAAGTACACTTTCTCTGAGCTCTGTGAGCCGTTCCGGCATGTCCGCAGCCTCGAGGAGAGGGTCTCGGGACCCCCAGTTTATGGGTGACAGCCCGGCCGCAGGTGGGCGTCTGATGTGGGCGCCTGTGCCAACAGCAGTACTTGAGTGTAGGACACCCAGAGCTGGGGAGCCGGCCGGCGAGGGGAAGCGCACACGCGGCGTTGGCAGGGCGAGGGCACGGGGCGGCCGAAGCTCGCTCTGTCTGACACCCGCTGCGTGCCCAGCGCTGCCCCGCGGAGGTGGGCTGTTGATGTGGCCAGGGAGCCCTTGCTCTCTGTTCAAGGCCACGTGGGGGCCGAGTGGCACGTGGCCTGACCCCGGCCTGGATGAGGCGCCGTCCCAGAGGTGGCGTGACCCCGGTCTCGGGCGAGGGGGTGCTGTTCCCCCCGCTTTAAGGGGCTCTGAGGGCCGGCGTGGACCAGCCCCTCTGTGGCGTCGGACCACAGGACGGTGGCAGAGCGGGGAGCAGGGGCGCACGTGAGCCGCTCTGTGGTCCGCTCTGCAGGTACAAGTGTGACTGTGACCCCGGGTGGAGCGGGGCCAACTGTGACGTGAACAACGACGAGTGTGAGTCCAACCCGTGTGCGAACGGAGGCGCCTGCCGAGACATGACCAGCGGCTACGTGTGCACCTGCCGCGAGGGCTTCAGTGGTGAGGAGCGGGCCGGGCGGGGGGCTCTGGGGCCACCGCGCTGCCTCCCTCCCGGCGTGGGCCCCAGCTGCCGCCGGGATGGGTGCGGCGCGGGGCTCTGCCTGCAGCCTGGGCAGCAGCAAGGGTCCTGCGGCAGGATCCTTCCACGGCCCCGCAGTGACGGGCTCGCCGACCACTGGCTCGCTCTCTCCAGGCCCCAACTGCCAAACCAACATCAACGAGTGTGCGTCCAACCCGTGCCTGAACCAGGGCTCGTGCATCGATGACGTGGCCGGGTACAAGTGCAACTGTCCGCTGCCCTACACAGGTGAGGGCAGGCCGGCGGGCCCCGGGCAGCCGGGGGGCAGCGGTGAGGCACAGCATGGCTTTCTCGGGGCCTCCCCCCGTGGCTGTCCTTGCCAGATTCGCAGCAAACACAGGATGCTGGGGAGACGTTGTACTAGGAGTGTGTCCCAGACAGTTGGTGTGGCCGGCCAGCCCGCCCGGGAGCTGGGGTCCTCCCCAGCAGAGCCAGGAGCTGGGCCTGGGCGGTTGGGCTCCGCAGCCCAGTGTCCACACTGCATGGGCCCCTGGGGGCCAAGCGGCACCCCCCCCACCTTGCTGGCCGGGCTTGAGGGATCCCTTTGACGGCGGGCCTTCTTTGTGTCGGGGAACAAGGAGCCCTCTGTGAGGGCTGAGCGAGGCGGGAGGCGTTTCCCCGGGCGTCCCGGCGTCCGCCGTTGGCCCGGCCAGCAGGATCGCAGGAAATGGTCCCCTCTGTGGAGGAGATTTACGGGGGGCTAAGACACAGAAGTCCGCAACCACTCCTGCCACTGGGTCCCACTGGGAGTGGGCAGAGGGCGCGGCCACTGGGGACGGTTTCAGGACTGCCGCCGAGCCTGGAGGTCCGGAGGCGGCCCCATCTGGCCAGGCAGGCGGGGTGGGGGCCTGGGCCTGTGCTGGCAGTTAGGCGGGCTGTGGCCAGTGTGGCCACAGGCCACGTGGCCAGTGTGGTATTTTCGTGGACCAAAGCTGGGGGCCTGGATTTTCTCTCCTGCATGGGTGAGGAAGCTCCCGGCTGATAGCCGCCCAGGGGCCCCCTCGCTGGGGCACACGGGTCCCTCTCGGACACAGTATCAGAGGCTGGCGGGCCTGGTGGGGAGGAGCCAGCCTGTGCTGACCGGCTTCCCGTCTGCCCACTTCCTGCTTCCCTCTGCACAATTGTCGGAAACTCTGGCGAATTTCCTGCCTGCCTAGGTCACCATGGAAACAGATAGAAAGAAAGGCTCTGGAAAATCACCCCAGCAGGCCAGGGAGATAATGGGCCACGGGGAAGATAGCGCTTCCTTTCTTCCCCGGGAATCGGCCCCCACGGCTGTAAACAGGAAGGCTGTCTGCTGGGCTCTCGTGGAGGAGAGTCACCCCAGTGTGACACGCTCCTAGCGAGACTCCCTTCCCCGTGCCGGGGTCCTGTGCCGCTGGGGCTCCTTCCCTGCTGCCCAGCCTCTGCTCGGTGGCTTCCGTGGCCTCCATGACCAGGCGCTGGCTGCCCGTGGCACCGAGCCCTTGGGAAGAGCTCCCAGGCCTCCTGGAGGCCAGGAGAGGGTGTGAGGCTGGAAGCAGGCCGGGCCCCTGTGACGTGGTCGGGGGCTGCCAGTCCGCTCCCAAGGGGTTGAGACCCAGGCTGTATCCTGCAGGGACTGTCGGGGAGCTGGGCGTCTCTCTTGTCTGTCTTCAGGCCCCCGGTTTGGGTCCTGACCCAGCCAGGAGCTTGCCTGGGGTCCCAGTGCAGCCCCATTCACCCACCACAGGGCCAGCCACTGGGAGATGCCGTGGGGCGTGGACCCTCCGGGCCAGGGCTCCCTGGGTCTCAGTACTTGTTCTCCTTCCCGTTAGGAGCCACGTGCGAGGTGGTGCTGGCCCCGTGCGCCCCCGGCCCCTGCAGAAACGGGGGTGTGTGCAAAGAGTCTGAGGACTATGAGAGTTTCTCCTGCATCTGCCCCACGGGCTGGCAAGGTGAGGCCTCCTGCCCCGCGGCCCTGCCGGGGTGTGTCCCCCTGGGGCAGGAGGCCCGGAGATGAGCCAGCGGGTAGCAGAGCCATCTGCTGGGCCTCTGGAAGCAGAAATGGGCCTGCTGGGGCCCTTCCCACCCTGCATTTCTATCATCTGCTTGGCCCGAGGTTGGGGGCTGGCGAGTCAGCCCTTCCTTCCTGGGGTGTCCCCAGAGGACTGTCCTGGGGCACAGGAGGCCCCGCTGTTGGGAGGATGGGGGAGAGGCCTGGACGGCGGGGGCTGAACCCACACCCCCCTTCCCCCCAGGACAGACCTGTGAGGTCGACATTAACGAGTGTGTGAAGAGCCCGTGCCGCAACGGGGCCTCGTGCCAGAACACTAACGGCGGCTATCGTTGCCGCTGCCGCGCAGGCTACACGGGGCACAACTGCGAGACGGACGTGGACGACTGCCGGCCAAGTGAGTGGCCCGGCGGCTCGGCCCCTCTGAGCTGCTCCTGGACCGGCCGTTCCTTGGGCGGCCGTGGGGCAGGGCGCGGGCTGAGGTCCAGCGGGAGGACCGATGTGGCAGCGCCCGGGGGCACGCCCGGGTCCCGCTGCAGGAAGTGCTGGGGGGTAGCCTCACGTGGACCGAGGAGGGTGGTCCTGGGTGGCCCCCGAAGCCTCCAGAGCCAGACTGCCAGCACCTCCCAGTGGGTTCTGGGAGCTCCTCCACCCACGCGTCCTTACCGGTCCTTATTGAGACCCCACCAAGGAGCAGGGCTCTCGGCCCCCAACCCTGGGTCAGAGAACACTGAGACCGAGAAACCAACGTCTTATCTGGCGCCACCAAGCAAGCAGGGGAGATGGTGACGCCGGCCCTGCTGGTCCTTAAGCCTATCTGTCCGCCCTGCCCTAGAGCCTGGGGCCTGGGGGTGTGTGGGGGAGCGTGGGCCCCCAGCTTCGGCCCTCCGGCAGAGCAGTGGTGCCCGCCCTCAGCCACCCTCAGCCCGCCTGCCTGTCCCCTCCCAGATCCATGCCACAACGGCGGTTCCTGCACCGACGGCGTCAACACCGCTTTCTGCGACTGCCTGCCCGGCTTCCGGGGGCCCTTCTGCGAGGAGGACATCAACGAGTGCGCCAGCAACCCATGCCGCCACGGGGCCAACTGCACGGACTGCGTGGACAGCTACACCTGCACCTGCCCCACGGGCTTCAGCGGGATCCACTGTGAGAACAACACGCCCGACTGCACAGAGAGGCGAGTGCCGCGGGGCGACCCGGGACGCAGGCCGGGGGCATCCACCGGGCCGGCTCTCACTGCCCGTCCGGTGTGCCTTGTGTCCCCAAGGGTGCTTGTCCGCTGGCCCGTGTGAGAACCAGGAGCCCTGGCAGTTCCTCCTGACGATCTGGTGCGCCCCCTTCTATCTCACTGCGCCAGCTCTGTGACCCATCTTGTTTCCTTTTTTGCCTGGGCTGCCAGGAAACTCCGCACTCAGTGTTCTCGTCCTTTGTTTCCAACACGGTCCTCTCCCGCGCTAGCCACGCGGGTTCTGGTTTCGTCCTCGTTTTTCCATTTACTGCCACGTGCCCGTGTTGTGAAGAAGGCAGAGGAAGCGAGTGGGGGGTGGCGGGAGAGCCCGAGGCCCCCGGCCCCGAGGTCAGCCAGGCTCCTCCCTGCCTGTTCTGGCTGCTGGGCCCCTCCCGCCACAGTGTGAGTCGAGGGGGAGCTGCCCGGGCAGGGCCCCCACCCCCGCTCACCCGTCTCCCCTGCCGCTTGCTCACCTGCAGCTCTTGCTTTAATGGCGGCACCTGTGTGGATGGCATCAACTCCTTCACCTGCCTGTGTCCGCCGGGCTTCACGGGCAGCTACTGTCAGCACGACGTCAACGAGTGCGACTCGCGGCCCTGCCTGCACGGCGGCACCTGCCAGGACAGCTACGGGACCTACAAGTGCACCTGCCCGCAGGGCTACACGGGCCTCAACTGCCAGGTGAGCCAGCGGGCTACAGGGGGGCCCGGCAGGAGGTGGCGGCGGGGCGCCCGCCCCC